TCTCTCTCTCTCAGTTTCTCTCTTCCGGCATCTGTGGTGTAGCGCTTAGCTTATATGCACGTTGCTGTCTCAAGCAGAAGACACGGGTTCGATTCCCTTGCGGTTTTTTTTAAAATCAAGTATCCGGTCTTTGTGCTGGACATTGTATCCTTTTCAGCACGGGTTGACTGTGACATGCGTGGTCGAAGCCCGCCTTTTTAATGATCAAGATTGGGTCGATGGGGGGCACAAAAACAGTTACCTTACGATGATTTCAAAAGTTCTCTTCTATCGGTACCTAGCTCGGTTGGTATTGTATTGGACGGTGTTGCTGATGACTCCTGTTCGAATTCCATCTAGATGAGGGCATAGAAGAAACACATAGAGAAAAAAACAGAAGTTTAACAAATTATTTAGAAAGTAACATGAGCCCTACAGTCTACTCAGAGCGCGTTGCTCAGACTTTCCGAGGTGGTTGGTTGGCGGGTGTTCTGGTGTGGTTTGCTACTGCTGTCCTATCAAGCATCTGACCTATTGTCCTTATCTCGCCCCCCCCCCCTCTTTTTTGTGTTTGTTACTACTACCTTGTAACACCCCTTATCTTCATCACTTATGTAATGGTGATGATGGTGATAATAATAATAATAATAATGATGATGATAATAATAATCGTAATAATAATGATAATAATGTGTTGTATAAAATACCGCTCTATCTCGTAGACGCATGAGCTCTTTTTGACCTAATTGTGTTGCAAGTGCCGTAAAGCGTTTACCAAAAAAAAGAAGAACTCTGATGGTGTACGCACACACCCTACTCACAGATTCTCTCGTTCATTAATTCGTCAAATTAGGTCATCGACCAACTTTCATTTGTCCGTTAATTGAGTCGTGACCACCCCCCCCCTCCCGCGCCCCTCGCTCCAGAATAGTTGCTGTTGTTTCCCTGCTGTCCGCGTGGGTGGCAAAAATAGCAACAGCAGCAGCAGCAACAACAACGTTAACGAGAACTAGAGAAAGAAAAATATCAAGAAAAAGAAGAACAACAACAGCGATAACAACAACAGCGATAACAACAACAACAACAACAACAACAACAACAACAACAACAGCGATA